GAAAGGAAGAGACGGAGAGCCTCAGTGAATTTCCCACTTGTTGTGGCTTTGTAGCCGGACTTGAGCTTTTCGTCTAGCTGAGAGAAATCATAAACAAGAGCTGGTGGGCCACGGACGTTGGGACTGGAAGACTCGCTCCATCCACGCTCAATGGCAAGTGGAACCACAGGAGATGAAGAAAAAGCACGCAGATAGCTATGGCTGCCATTGAACAGATCAAGAAACATCGATTTCAAAGGTGTAAAGTTCTTTATACCAAGCTGTCTGTGGAGCAGACGCATTGCAGTGTCGAAGCTTCCCGCTGCAGCTTGCTCAGCAGCAAGAGAAGATTTCTGGCTCCAGATCTGACTTACTGGCATACCTTGGGGAGGTGTCACAAAAACCAATGAACGCGCATTAGCAGAGGCTTTAGGAGTGTCAAGCTCTGGTGGGAGCTCCAAGTCTTCAAGTCCTCCCCATCCACCTTCCTCATCGTTTTCATCTTCACCTGCTTCTGCAGCCGCCAAAATGTCTTCGATGTCTCTGTTCTCCATTCCATCAACATTTATGTCAAGTTCCTCACCCCAATCGCCTTCAGCATCTTCTTCATCAACAGTACCTCCTCTGTCTGCACTCTCAAGTCCTCCTTCAAATATTCCTTTCATCACTCTCAGAAGAGGCCAATCACCACCGCACATGATGGGTGTCGGTGGCATTAGAAGTGATGGGGTTTTTCCTTCAGGCAACGAGGGCACATTGTCTCCTAGCTCAGTTGCCAGTCGCTCAGCAATGTCATTTAAACCATGAACCGAAGCCGTAATATAAGCTAGAGGCAAATGACCAGCATTCTCCAGTATCTTAACACGCTCTTTAACATCTCCTAGGTAGAGAGCATTGTGAAACTGACCCATTACATTGTTCTTCACTTCCGCAATCTTCATCAACTTTGAAAGCTTGTCTAAATTACCAGTAATGAGATAAAGAAAAGATAACCTCTCAAAGTTCTTTGTCTGCTGGTATGCAAACTCAACAATGCCAGAATTACCTTGGCGAAGAGCCTCCACCCCAAGTCTATACCAGTGGTCTTTCTCGTTAATCTGTGTAGCGGATGCAACAGCCACACTGATGTTGCCACTTTCAAGAGCCAGGTTGAATCGGATCCTCTCATCTTCAACAAAATGGAGAGCAACTTCAGGGAATCCTTTTTGCTGCAGATAAGCAATCATAGCCTGTCCACATAGCTGGGAGTTCTTTATCATGCTCATGACATGATCATATCTCTTTCTCAGAAGTGAAAGCTTGAAAATGTACTCGGTTGCATTAATGGTGATAGCCTTGTTTTTCCCATCCCGATCCAAGCAGAAGATTGTATTACCAGACACCTTGGTGATATAGATCGGGACATCCAGGGTTCGGATGATTCCACTATCTCCATTGGGAAGACAGTACTTGATATGATTCAAAGTTGTGTAAATGAAGACACCGTTATCGTCCCAAGCTCCACTTTTCACACGTATCGTCTCATGAAGCGTGCACTGGAGAACAAGTTTTTTGCTCGCGATAATTATAGTATGTTTGCTGAGCAAAGCGACACTCTCCATATCACTAGACCAAACAACGTACCTAACAAATGGTGTCTGAAGTTCACCAAGGACAAGCCTTTGCTGGAGGTCAAATATAACTACTTTATCCTCAGATCTACAAAGCAAATTTCCAGTCCCGGCATAAAAGATAGCATCTGTGGGAATAGGCAGAGAACTCTTTTTAACCACCTCATTCTTTAGATTCTTGACTAGCACCTGGCTGGTGCTTTTCTCGAGAACAGCAAACCGGTTACGGGCAATGAATACTGCAGAGCCACCTGTCCCTCTCTTTGCATCTTGCACAACGTCACTCCTGCCAACACTATCTTTCGGTATGATGTACAACTCATAAGAACCACCATCCAGATCTGAGCAGATCAAAACTGCATTTTCAGTCGGACTGTATGATAGAGTCCGAGGACTTTGATTCAAGCTTGGAGTACCAGGACGCCGTATAGGGATAACTTGGGAATCTCTTTGAGTTGAATATTCGTAGTACCGCAAGAATCTATCCTTGGCATAGAACAAAGAATCCCCACTCAAAGCAAATGCAGGACGTTCTCTCTCAAGTTTGAACACTATCATGCCGCTGTCATGCCCAGCTGCTAGTAGATTCATCTCAGGGTGAACTGCAAGAATCCAGAATCTATCATGTTCACGACGGAAAGTCTGAAGTCCAGTTCGCTTGGTAGCATCCCAGACACGGATGCTCTTATCTTCAGAGTTTGATACAATTATGTCCTGTTTTGCATGGAACATAACAGATGAAACGTTATTCATATGGCCTCGCAATGTATCCACCTCCCAAGCTTTAGTTTCTGCAATGATAATGATAAAAACACATTACCAACTCAGCTTCACAGTTTCAAGATTCATCTAAGAATTACGACATACAGAATATTTGCATATCAGTAATATCACTGATGATTGATAGCATATAAATTTTGCAAGAACAAAAGGATAGCATCAAATAATTACCATTCATACGCCACAGCTTCACTTGGCGGTCATCTGCACCCGAGACAATAAGAGGCAGGGTGGGATGAAAAGCAGCCCAGTTTACACCTCTGTCATGACCTTCAAGAACGTACTTGACTATAGCATCAACTCCACCAAAAAGATCACTATTCATCTGAGTCAACCTCATGATGTCATCAGCAGGAGAAACAGTCTTCTTCCTAAGAGCACCGATATCCCAAACACGGACAGTCTGATCTAAAGAAGCTGATACGACGAGATCTTCTTTCGGATGGAAAGAAGCACACATAACATAATGATTGTGACCAGTCAAAACAGAAACACAAGTCCTTGATTGCCAGTTCCATATACGGATAGTCTGATCATCACTAGCACTCACAATCCATGGGTACTCATGATGGAACTGAACCGTGCGGATATAATCAAGATGGCCAAGAAGAGTGAAAAGGCACCTGTGGTTTTTGTAGTTCCACACTTTAATCTTGTAATCATCCCCTGCAAAGATCATTGTAATGCAACAAATCATTAAAGATCCATTCTTGTAATCAATTATACGATATCACTACAAAGAGAACAAAGCTAAATCTAGAAACCAAAGCATTATATATACCTCCGGAGACGAAGAGAGGCTGAGAATTGTGGAAATGAACACCACGAACAGGTCCTTCGTGCTCATCGAATCTATCGATCAAAGTACCCATACGATAATCCCAAAGCTGGATCACACCACTGTGCAAACTCGCGAGAATCCATGGTCGTTTAGGGTGAAAGCTCAGACCCTTAACTCTGTTACTCTTGGTTTCGAATTTTGTCAACATAATCTCTCTCTCCGATAATGGCACTCTACAAAAATCCGGATCACAGAAAACGAATCACGAACAATTAGAAATAGATCTAAATTGCAACAATGGAGTGAGATCAAAACGGAATTTGAAATCAGAAGGAGAGAAACAATGGTGATTACCACAGATCAGATGAGTTCACGAACGAAGCGAAGAAGAAGAAGGTATATAGATCTGAGTGAGTCGCAACGCCCAGATCTCGAGTTCTCTCTTTTGCGTTAATTTGGATAAAAACATGTATTCAGTGATGAATTCTAATATATCCTTGAAAAAAAAGAGTGAGTTCTAATACTATTGGTGTAATGATGCAATTTTAATATTTTGTTTTCCTTTTTTTTTTAACGTCGAAGGAATAAATTCCAATAAATTACTCTAAATTATTTTCTTCCCAAAAAAAACCTATTCCCTAATTTTTTTTTTTTTAGTTTTTGGGTCAAGTTTAATTTAGAAACCTTTGATTAGAATTCACTCAATAGTTGATTAAAACTAAGCTGTAATTTTACTAAAACAAAATAAAAATTAAACCTAATCAGAACCAAATTGAATCCTATAAAAAAAACTCTAAATATTCATTCACGTGATAAAAAAAAACGAATATATTATCATCTATATCATTTATTTTTAATAGTTTGGAGCCTCAAAGTGTTTTATATTTGATGAGTATTTCTAAGTTTTTTTGTATATTGTTGAACATAAGTGAAAATTAAATTACACATAAGATGAAAAATGACCAAAAAATTGAGAATAAATCTAAATAATTACGTCTATATATATCATCATAGCGATTGAGTTTCAAATCCGATTAGCGTAAATGGGAAATGTCTAATGTTTCAAAAACATTGCAAGACCTGAAAATAATTTGATCATATGATTCTGAAGGAGAGACCGATCAAGACACAAAAAAAAATCCAAAAAATGTAGACTGTGATAGGCGGCTGTGGTAAACGCGGTTCAGGCGGATGAGGTCGAGGCAACAACCATTAGAGATCTAGTGACATGTTAATTCACTCTATTTCATTCCATCACACTTGCTCTTTGCATCATCTTTGCTATCTTAATGGATTCTAAGTGTATGCTTAATAGGATCCGAAAAGGTCTTAGTTTGTACCTTACATATTTTTTGAATCACGTACTGTCTACAAAGTTGAAGTTTTTTTTGCTTCCGTTTCGAAAACACCGGTAGAATGAATAGAGGATGAATCAAGGAGGACAATGACCAAATACTAAGCCTAGAGTAGATGCATATGTCCAAATCTATATTACCAAAACCTTATTATCAAATTATTAGAAATGAAAGATTAACAACCCAAGTAAACTTTGAGTACCAAATGTAGGAAGAAACTTTTTTTTGAGAAAGATAATCAAAATGACCTGATCAAAGTGGTTAAAAGATTTTTACTCGTTCGCGAAAAACATTCCAAGAAAGAAGCTAGTGTGGCACAAGAACAATGCTTGACATTTCTTGGAGTAAAATAGTAATCTCAAATACCTCTACCCTTAAATAACAGTTAGTGTTGCTATAATCATAGAGAAGTAGAAGTGAAGGTCAAAGGCAATGCCAGTAGGATCATAAGAGAACCAGAAAAATTCCACAGGGATTTAGACCCAAGTATCATTTTGAGAAAAACGAATCTCCATAATTTCAAGTTTGACAACTAGTTACTCTTGTTCAAAGAACAATCTTTACAAAAGAAAAGAAAAGAACAGAGAAGAAAAGAAAAAGAGATATCCACGAAACATATAATGTATTGTCATATACACTAATTAATAGTCTCCTCTTTTCCTTTTGCCCTAAAGTACCAGAGCTTGGTTGATTTTGCCCTAACCTTGGAACATAATAAGAGCACACAAGTGGGCAACTATAAGGAGATTCTTCAACATTCACAGCTTCTCCAAGATCCACTTCTTTCAAGTATCCATCCTCCCCAATGATGCAAGCTGTTTTGTAGAGGCCGGTCTTGGTCGGTTTGAATCTATGGATATCACAAATCACTGCCATTTTCTTCTCCTCATCAACAAAGAAACTCCTAGGTTCAACCTCAAACTCAAAACCAGTGATTGTCTTCGTATTCACGGCTAAGAACTTGTTCCATGACACCGCATTGGGCTCAATCTTAGTTGTAATCCATATCTCCATCTTATCTGTATCTAAACGCTGAAATAACACTGCAAGATGCTCTTCTCTAACTGAAGACAGAACCATATCATCATATCTAACATCACAGTGAAACGGAAGATGCAGAGCCGGTCCAAATCTCTCTCTTGTAAAATCGAAACAGAGTAAAACACATTCTTTATCTACTTCTTCAACTTTGATTCTTTCTTGAGCAAAAAAGTAAGTGTTTCCTTTCAATGACACGCCTCGTTTGTAAAACACTATATTAGACGAGATGGTAAGAACCCTCCATGAGTTAGACTTAAAATCGTAGATTTCATACCCTACATTGTTGACAAACTCAAAGAAAACCCTCAAAATTTTGTAGTTGTTGTTCTTGTCGTATCCGATACCGAACATATCTGATCTGTGGTAAGGGATTCTAGGTTTGATCCAACTGGTTTGACCCATATACGGGTCCCAAACCACGAGCCTAGTAGTGTCTTCGTCCTTGGTGTGGCATAACAATAAGCCATCACAATAGATGACGTTAGATACCTTGACTTGATTAAGTTCACATATACGCTTTATAGATGGATCAACCACGTCTTTGTGGTTTTGGATTCCATGGAGATTAACACTCATCAAACAGACCTTAGAATCATTAAGCATGATCACCAACAAACCCTTGGTTGCTTTATCACATTGCTTCTTTGTAAAGCTAGGATCTTTGGTTAAACAGTTCCATTGTTTGCAAGTAGATCTCACAGCTCTCAGAGAAGTTATTGGAACCCTAGAGAGTATCTCCTCTACCAAACCCTTCGAAAGATCGGACATCATCGTCATTGTTTCTTCAAGTTTCTAACATAAGAGAATTAGGGTTTTATAACTTTCACGCTTGCCCACTATTTATATAGTCAAACACGGTAATTAGGTTTATGCGTTTTTTGTTTAATTTTTTAACTTCACGTTGATAGATGTGGTTTCTATTTCTCCCTGGGATTTTACAGATTTTAAGAAAAAAAAAAAAAGGAAAAACTTTTGCTACACAATAGAAAATTTCGTATGCTCTGTTTTTATTTCCAAAACAGAAATGTGAATAGCAGACCATATAAGTATAACCCCCAAAACGTTCTCCAATTTTTTTTTGTTTCTCAAATTTATTTTGTATCAACAAAACAACATTCCCCAAATTTATGGATCTAACTGTGATCCTTTGTCCGCAATACTCTATACAAAGTTAAAGTGTTTGCCTCTGCTTCGAAAACCGGTAAATGAATACATGATGAATCAAGAAGGACAATAACCAAAATTACTAAGCCTAGAGTATATGCATATGTCCAAATCTATATTACCAAATTCTTGATATCAGATTTATTAGCTTTGATTACGTTACACCTTGGGACAATCCTTTTCTCCAGCCTCTACTGGCCAATTCAACTTCTTCACCAAAAACTTAGTTTTCTTCTTGACCGTCTCGCAGAAAATACAATGCACTCAAGATAGCACTTGATCATCATTGTGAACTCATCTCTGCTGAATTCTAGGCCTGTAAATGTTTCAATGGAGTTCTCTAGACGCCATTGTGAACTCATCATAATGTTGCAGGCTTGATGGACCTTGATGCTTTGTTATCAGTTAGGAAGTGTAATGAAGACTGTTTCGAACAGAAGGATTCAAGTGGAAAGGCAAACTCTAGATGGATTAGAGGGTTCAACCTAAGGGTTTAAGTAGACAACACATTGGCTTGTTTCTTTGGAAGCTTAATGGTTTTCACATTCAAACATTCCAAAACCTCTCTATCTTTATTCGAATAAGCCACAACTGTCATGTAGCAAATAGTTGTGTTTATTTCTAGACTATTAGTATTATTAATGTTGAAGAGTTAAAAAACAAGTCAAAAAGAGTTTCACAATTACAATTTGTTGTTTTCCCAGTCAGATTGCACACAGAAGAAAACGCGTTGGATCCGGGTTAAAAGTCTAAATTGGTTTCAGACACTCATACACAAAAGCTATTCTGCTTCATCAAGATCCATAAATGAATCTAAAACTAACAGAAAACAAAAACCAATCCTTAATGTTGCTCATTGTTCTAGGCGTGTCTTCTGATCAGCGAGTAAGATAGCCATTAGCTCAGGCACTAGCTGCTTGTGATCATCATGCTTCATAACATACCTGTTTAAGAAAGCTTTATCAGTAATCGCCAACACAGACATCATTGGCGGGAGTTCACTTCCTCCGTCTCCGAGCAATCCTTTTAACATAAGAGCTTTGATTACGTTACACCTTGGGACAGTCCTCTTCTCTAGGCTGTATCCAAGTACCGTAGGGTTTGAAACCACAGCCTTTAGTGGCCAATTCATCTTCTTCACCAGAAACTCAGTCTTCTTCTTCACCAACTCTGCCGATAATCCAATGCACTGAGGAAACCGCTTGACCATCCTTACAAAGTCATCTCTGCTGAATCCTAGACTAAAAAATGTTTCAATGGAGTTGGCTACCTTCTTCTCCGAGTGTGTCAGAGAGAGTGGCCACTTCTTGAACATTGCCCATACATCATCCACAGTGAAACCTACACTTGTATAGACTTGAATCTTTTCTTCAATCGTTTTGTCGCTCATTTGGTGAAGCATGTGCAAAGCTTGGAGAAACATTAAGGTGGTTGGATCAAAACCCATCTCAACGACCTTCTTGAGTGATGCATCAAATCTTTCTGTTCCACACACGGGCTGAGATTTGGAGATGAGCAAAGATAATAACCGCTTTCGCGGCACACCCAATTCTCTCAAAACAAAAATATTTCTGATCTTGTTCTCCTGCAGAAAAGATTGAGATAAGTTTCTTTTCTTATCCACTTGTATAATCTCTTTGACGAAATCATAAAATAAGCTGAGTGTTTTGTGACCTCTCTTTCTCAAGATTTTTGGAAGTGAAGAAACAATCTCAGTGAGCTCAGAGCTTGAGGCTCCTCTAGACTGCAGAAACTTAAGCTTGAAACCCAGTGATTTCTGAGAATCTGCTATAAGCAACCGTGGGTAAGTCCTAATGATGTTGGAGATCTGAGAATCTGTGAACCCATAACTTCTAAACAGATTTAGAATCTCAGAATCAGGATTTACCTTGTCCGTGAAACTGACTTCACTTGAGACCGATGTAGTGCGATTTGAAGCTAAACCCAGTGAATCAACGAGGCACGAGGCTTTAAATTTGTTACCTTTTAGACCATCTCTAAGGCTCACATCAGCATCACTAGCAGAGGAGAACGAATTGGAAAAAGAAGATCCATTTTGCAATGAAACTCTCAAGTTACGCCATTTCTGCAACCCCACGAACCTACGGATTATCAGAGACTTCATGACAATGAAAATCGTTGAAGCGATTCGACCAATATATCTGATCCAATTCGTACCCAAGATTCAAAATTTGGCCTTGATTACCATCGATCAGTGAAGAACAAGAGTATCACTCATCGATCATTCACTTGCGGAACTCTCAGAATCGCACAGATACAAAATTTAGGGTTTAGTTCTTGACCGGTTTAAGAAATCAAAAACTGATTTAATTGGTTTATTAGTATAAAAACTTGAGTGAATTGGCGCAGACACAAAAATGAGGCATATAATTAGTTAATCGACAATAGTGAAAATCGTCGGGGACAAGAAAAAAACAATATAGATGTATGGGTCTGGAGTTTTGAGTAATAACGAAAATACCACAGCTACTTTTGTGAATGCGCGTGGGGAAGATGGTTTTGTCTTTCCAAGTATCCAAAGAATAACCTGCAAATAATAAATGCTTCCAGTTGAACTGACATCGCCACGTAGACAAAAAGAACGAAGTGATCGTTAATAAATGCAACTGATCTTAACTCGAACTAACTCAAATTTGAATATAGACAACTATCATAGTTGCATGGACACTCAATAAGTAGTTACTTTGAATTTTTTAAACAACTAACCTAGTTGCATGGATACCCAATAAATATTTTACACGATTTTGACATTTATATACAGTTAAACACATACATAGAGCATTAGAAATAGTTATAGTGTTAAATAATTTGGTCTATGTGTACATATAAATATATATATATATATATATATATATATATATATATAGCATTGTTAGCATTTGTATATATGTAAACACGTACATGAAGCGTTATTAACATTTGTATACATGTAAACACGTACATGAAGCGTTATTAACATTTGTATACATATAAACACGTATATAGAGCGCTATTAACATTTGGATATATGTAAACACATATATATATATACTGTTATTAACTTTTGATACTTGTATGCACGCTACAATGCATATATTAAAATCATCGTATCCCAAACTGTCGAACAAAGCAAGTGAGCAGTTCATTGCAATTGGACACTGAAATATCATTAGAATCATGGGTTTCGTCGGATTTGCAATGGATTTTCACCGGATTTCATAGAGTTATCAGCGGATCTTGTGGATGTCGGATTCACACACTCAAGTATTTTGTTAAGTGGGAAAGATTATTCTTGAGGGACAAAAATGAATACGTAAGAACTTGTAAATTGATATGAAAATTGCTATAGTATTTCTCTCTTGAGAGGAATATCCCCTTTACATGGCCATTGGCCTTTATATTTATACATAGAGAAATGACATTAAAAGGTATAATTAAGTACAATTATTCCTTCTTAAATGTGTCCGTTTTGATTCTTCGACTTTAATGCTCAACGTTTGAATTTGAGTTGACTCTGATCTTCATGGGCCTCGCCTTTTCTGGCCCAAGCGTCCTTGAACCGACTTACCCGTGTCTTCTACACCAAACTCGTGTCCCAGTACATTCACTTCGGATTCTCGAAGTGGTGACAACCACTTCGACCGTCCCTTCGGTTCACGGGTCCAATGGGCTTCATCCTTTATGGGCCATTATTTTGACTACGTGGCAATCTTTGGTTGGTCTCGTACTTCTGGTGCGGGATCCGACACCAACAATTAGCCCCCCAAGTTCTTCGAAGTGCTATTCCAATTCGGAGGACTTTAAATGCTCAAGTGGCCAAAGATTGCGCTCGAGAATCTTTCTGATTTCCCGCCGAAAATCTCATCACTCCTTTAATTTTGGCACTAGCCATTTTTAACCGAGTGACATCTGTCATCATTATGACCGTATATTGATTAATTACTATTAAAACGGGAAAAACCTTCCCACTTCCCACACAACTTTCGAGGCGGTTTCATCATTAGCTTGAGGTAACTTCTTTTCACCATTACTCTCTTCTTTTACTTTTGTACTTAAAAACTCTCTCTTTTCTTCTTCACGAAAAACCTCTCTCCGCCGGATCTTAAATTTTTCATTTTTATTCGATGACTTCTGATTCTGAAAGACCTGAATCTCCGTCTTACGACGAGAGGCGTTCTAGTAATGACGAATGCACTCGTCCTAACGACATCGCCGGTCCTCATTACAAATCCACCTGTACTCTTCAATCCCTTGAGCGATTGAAGGGACTTTGTCAAATTCCTCCTGGAATTATAGCGGAGGCGCAAATAGCCGACCCTGCGGAATCTCCTGAGAACCACCGTGCCGGCTACTTTTGTGTTTACGAAATTTTCTTCAAGGGCTGCGGATTGACCTTCCCCCTTCCCGAAGCCCTAGTTCGATTCTTGGCGGCTCTTGAGATCGCTTTGCCCCAATTAACCCCCAATCTCCTCCGAACCATCCTCGGGATTATAACCGTTTCGGCGGAGGCTGGCTACGTCATTGGAGTTCCCGAGCTGAATGAACTCCTAAGCGTAAGGAGTTCATCAAAGAAAACTGGGTACTTCTCGGCGTATCCAAATGCCAATAGGAACGTCATCTCGCACCTCCCGAACAAGGATGAATACTGGCACCATCCTTGGTTTCTGATTAAAAAAAACTCCTGCTTCGATTGGGAATCTTTCCGATGTACTCCCATCGAAGTGGTCTGCGAAACCTGGTAGAGACTAGGTCGTATATTCCTGTATTGTTTATTATTATTTTTTACTGACCGAATTCGTTGTTTCATTTCGCAGCTTTCATCGCTTCAACTCTCCCGACCGAAGAATTTGTCAAGTTCTTCAAAACAATCCTTGAAGGGGAAACCCTTTGGAATTCTTTTACCCTCGACCGATTTGTCGAGGCCAACCGGAAACTCAGGATGAGTCCTCCCAATCTACTTCATCGTCTTCCGCCTCCTCCCTCAACTCAGGGAATGTCAGCTCGGGCCCTCGCTGCCCAGCGTAAGAAGCTCTCCAAGCCGATAGCAGAGGCTTGTGATGAAAACAAGGCGTTCCTTGCAACCGCCATTGACAAAAAAGATTACAGCAGGACCCTGCTGGTTGATGACAACAGCTCCGAGGGAGCCAGATCCGTTGCTGCTTATAGGTTAACGCCTCGTCGCGAGCGCCGCGACGAGCGTTCTCCTCGGAGGGAGCGGTCTCCCCGTCGCGATTCTCCTCGTCCTCCCCGAGACGATTTCAGCAACGAACCACTTAAGAATTTGGTTCGTAAGAAGAGGGACAAGTCGTCCCGTGATGACTCGTCTCCGCGAAGGGAGAAATCAAGGGCCCGGACTGACCGTTCACCTCGATCCTCCCCTTCTACTGAACCAATGGGTCCTCCCCGACCTGTTGACATGTCTTCTTCTTCCCAGCCCGTCAGCGAAAAGACTGCTCGGAGTGCATCTCCTAAAAGTGGAGATTCTGAATCTCGAGATGCTTCCTCGAGACTGAAGCCTGCTCTTGTCCCTCAAGTCAAATCGCTTTCAGGTTTGGTGATTTACACATGCTTAAACTTTTTGTCTTTATTAAAATTCCAATTTTTACAATTCTTCCTTCTTCGCAGCTATGGAGACAGAAGGAAGCGTCTTCCGATGCTTCAAGACCCGTTCGGGTTCGATCTTGCCAGATTTCAACAAATGGCGCCCTGCAATTCGTGAACGCTATTTGCTTCACGCTTATCATTCATCTCGGGTTAGTTCCGTTTTCTTCCCCTTTTTTTTTTTTTATTGTATTGCCATTCTGCGAACTGACTCGCCATCCCGGGTTCATGTATGATACTAGGCTCATAGCGAACTTAACGACATGATCGAACATTACGAAGGGTTGGTCAGTGGACGGGAGAAAGAGATTGATATGTGGAAGAAGAAATTCTCAGCTCTTGAGGCTGAACTCAATTCTTCTGCTGGCTCCAAGCATGATCTGGAGGACAAGGTCGACAGTTTAACATCCGAGCTTGCGCAGATAAAGGGGGAGCTGCAGGGTCAGTACGACCAGAACTTCAAGCTCCAGGAAGAGTTTTCTGGTGTTCAGGGTAGGCTTCAAGAGTCCGAATCAAACGCTGATTCCCTGAACAACCAACTCATCGAGCTTAACGCGAAGTGCAAGGCGATTGCCAAATTGCGTGACTCCGAGTTGGCGAGGTCGGCATCAAAAGCCAGAAAAGAGGTTAAGGGACGCGGGATGGAGTTGATCCAAGGGGCCATCCGATTCATGCAGACTGAGAAGGCTAGGTCGGACTTGGAGTCAGACATCAAGGAGCACGAAAGCAACTTGATTCTGCTGGACCAAATCCATGAAGCAGATTTCTCCGAGGAGCAAGAAAGGACCGAGCTGTCGACTAACCTTTCTGAAAAACGGAGTCGCTTAGCAGCTCTTCCCACTTCGGCCTTCAACCCACTTGACTTCGAGGCATTCTTTACTGAATCACCTCCTATCAGTGAATCGGGTTTAGACTGGGCAGGTAACGCTTGGCTCCTGTGGCTTACCTTTTTCTTACCTTGTACCTTTGATTGACTGGAATCATTATTTCTAGGTTCAAGTGAGACGGAAGACGTTGTCCCGCCCGCAGCTCCTATGGTACCAGAGGTCACTCCGGAGGTTGGTTGTACCGCGGAGGGTGGTCAGGGAGCTTCATCTGATCAAGCACCAGTCAAGGAGGTGAATGAAACTTTGGTTACTGAGCCGGAGTCCGGGGTGGAGATCACTCCGTAGTGGCTGCGTCCACTTTAAATTAGGGATTGTCCCTTTAACTTTAAGACTTAATTTATTTTTGGCCTAAGGAGGCTTTATTGTTTTTGGCCTAAGGAGGCTTTATTATTTTTTCAAGATATTTGCCTGAGGAGGCTTTTAAACCTTTCTAGGTTGTGACCCAAGGGGGTTTGGTTAAAATCATATGCGGGTTTGCAAAGTCCGCTTTTTAACCTTTTGTGGCCTTGTGGCAATGCTTTTGAGATTTTTAGGCTGATCAGACCTTTCTCTTTAGTATGCGAGAACTGAGCTCGGCTTAAGCGAGTTCCCCACTTCGGGTTTAGTCAACTCGATAAACTCACTGGGCTTGGGCCTTAGAAACTTTTGTAGTTAATGCGACGGTTGCGCTTTCCCTTCTTATAAGTAAGGAAAACGGCTCGTCTTTAATGCAAAAAGTGCTTTTTTTCTTGATTTCCAAAAATGGTTTAAACCACTCGGACACACTACCATTATTAGGTTTATGGTTCCAAGACAAACCCTAAATCATTATAAATAAAGGCTTACATACTTCTAAGCTTTATTTAAGCATGGCT